TCTCAGAAACGATTGTCGCTGGTACTGGGTTTTTAACTCACTGCACCGTATAATTATTTCTCCTGTTCTTTCTAACCATCTTAATTAATTATTTCAGTCCACGGGGGATCCGAAGATCCACCCGGGCCAGACGGGCCCATTAGGAGTTTGGCAACTCCCCTGTAACGTACCACTGAATGCACCAAACAAAAAACATTTTTTTACTGCGAAATGTCACCCTTCTAACGAGCATAATTCTGAAACTGTTTGATCGATACTTTACAAGAAATCTATCAGTACAGCCATCTGCGGAAAAATAATGGATTTCCTTTTCCCCAACCCAATATTTTAAACTTGTCTGCATAATGTTGGAACATAGGTCCATCGGTCCACCCCGTCTAATGGAAACATATTGGTGCATGAAGTGACATAAAATAAAATCTTCAATAAGAGGTTTTTAACGATAAAAATGAATACCCCGTGAATTCTTTGTTATTTCACTTTTAATAAAGATGCCAATATAGAAACGTAATTTTATAATATAATTAATTCGAATGTATAAAATATATATCTTGCAAAGAAATGATATAATCACAATTAATCTAATTACGCTGTTCCTTTTATACTCATGACAATTTTTATTCTAGTGTAATTAAAATTCTTATGACACTGTAAATTAAATAAGACACAACATTATGGGATAGCACACAATCGATGGCGCTATCATACTAACATACCTGCAAACATGTACATATGTTTATAATCTATTGAAGGCCAATATATAAGGAAACTATTGGCCATTTTGAATCATAATCATTGTCAATAGTTATTATCGTAAAACTTGTGTTTTTTTCTTACATCAATGAATTTGATTATTAAAAAATAAATACAATTTGTTATGTTATATATGTACATACATATATGAACAAATGTATAGCAATATAATTTGAAAATATTTATTGTTTATTATTTTTTGGCAATTTGGCACAGTGACATATATATATATATATATATAAACGTCCATTATGACCTTGCGTTGTTTAGAAAAGGCATTTGCCATAAAAAATAAAAACAAAACAGAAATGAAATGAAATTATATTTTGGCAAAATTATGTGTGAAATCAAAGGTTGACATTTTTGCATAGAATAGTAATGTGCATATATATGTCAGTAACATATGTATGTATAGAAAAATCACTCTGCTCAATTTAGCCGAACATTTTTGGCAACTGGATTTATCCGAATAGTATAACAACAAATTTAGTTTAATTTTCAGACTTTCTGTCTGTCTACATTTGTCATTCAGGCATTTCGGATGTATTTGAATTTTGATATGATTGGAAATGTCGAAAAATAATCAAATATAGTGTTCAAAAAAGGAACACCGAATTATGCATTTGTTTCCAACAACGATTAAACAGAAATCCAAATGTTAATGTAGATATTTTGATATCGTACGAAATATTGGACGTGCTGTCGAAATCGTTTATAACAACGCCATTTATAACAATATATTGGTTATATCGACTGTATCCAGAGTGCCGAGAAAGGTTTTGCCCTTTATTTGATAGCGATCGACTTTGTCGGTCCCCTAGACGTCGTTATAAACGATTTCGACTGTACATAAATTATATATTCTTGAATATAACATCTTTAAATACTTCTTCATGTATTCCAAGTATCCAATTGCCCATAATAGAAAGATCAAAGTCAGCCTTCCACCAGGGATCTTGTCTATTGGTTACATATACATATACTAGGAAAAATTGACTTATGAAAATGTTTGCTTTTTTGTTGCGTGAATGCAATAACCGAACGATATATCCTCTGGTGCGATGTGACTCAAATATAGCCCTTATCAGGTTGGGAAAAACCTAGAATGTAAATAGTGGGTTTTTTGTTATCTTGGAAACCCCATATCTGCGGAAGTATGACTGTTCTACATATAATTATGTAGGAACAGATATATAAAAAGGTATTATTATAAAAATACAGACATTTGAAAATATTCGTTTGTCATTCCGTTTGCAACACCTCAAAATATTCGCTGGAGACCTTATAAATTATATATTCTAAAAACTGTGATTAAGAATATATCGCTCGTTTTCGCGTTTTGGTGTATCCTGCAGATAACGGATAATTTGTAATTTTTTATAACGATATCTTCATTATTCGATATTTTGGTAACTTTTTTAACCGACTTGGCTCATTGGGTGTCAATTCTTCTCAGGAAAAGTGTAATATGGCATAATTCAGTACGCTATGCCAAAATCCATGGTATAATTATAAAAGGTAACAGCAAATTCCAGCTGATTTGATTCCAACGTAATACTAGTGTCAATATGAATTTGACAAATTATGTTTTTAAAAATCACTCAACAGGAAAATTGGGAACTCATACAATTTAAAATTGTTCTTTATTAAATGTGCTCCTGTATTCAATTTATTCAATCTGCCTGCTGGGAAAGTTTGAGGAAGCAAATCTTTCTTCAAGGAATAACTCGCTATTTCCCAGCATTTTCATATGTGTTAGACATATATATGACAATGGCTCAATTATAGGAAAGATGTGGAATAGATAGAAATATAAATTTGATAGATTTTCATTCATGTTTTTCAATTTTTATTTTGAGGATTCGAAAATATTTCATTTTCAAAATAAAAATAATTTGGTGATAATTTGTTTGTTTGTTTACATTTTTCTGTCAAATGAGTTGACACTAGTAGAACTTACAACAACAAATTTCCATGTGGTTGTTGTATCGTTTTTTGTACAACAACACTTGCTGTTACCTTCTATTATTATACCATGGCCAAAATCGAATGATATATAGCGACTTTGGTGCACCTATATTTAAATCTGAAACTATTTTCCCCAAATTCAATAGGGTTCGTCCTTGGGTAAAATTAATGAGCTGTGCCAAATTTCATCCAATGAGGATTGTAAATGCGACCTGTACTTTGTTTAAAATTTAACATGGTCAGGCAGACGGACGTACATGCACAGATTGACTCAAAAAATGATTCTTTGCATATTCTCAAAAGGAACCATGTGTCTATCTCTTTTTCTTTTGCCTATTACAAATACTACAAGTGTGGTCAGGGGTATAAATATCGGATGGACGCGTAAAAAAATATTCAAGCATGGTGATGGTATGGGTTTGTTTTTCTGCAGCTGGAGTTGAAAACCTCCATTTTGTTGAAACAATCGTGACAGTAAAGGATTATAGTGCAGTGAAAATGGGGATCTCGTGAGATTTTACTTTCAACCGGATAATTATTCCTAACATTCTGTTCTATATTGCAGGCTATGGATCCTGTATAACTTTCCCAAAAACCTCAAAACACGACTTCATAGCCCAAATCTCAATCCTTTTGGGAATTTGTGTTCAATTAAAAAAAAAAAAAACATTATAGCATCAGAAACGTGAGGCACCTGAAAAAGTCTTAAACGCGGAATGGGATCAAATACCAACGGAATGGAATCAAATATCATCCGATTTAATCTCCAAACTAATCGAATCGAAACAAAAGGGATATCCAATAAAATATTTGATTAGAATGCTTAATAAGTTTAATTTTTTTAATTTACTCTGTACGAATTCGGTTTTTTTGTCATCCATATAATGAAAACTCCGCCATCCGCCGGCTGAATAATGAAATTGGTACAGTAGATATCGGATATAAGAACCTCAAAAAAAGCTGGAGATTTCTTTCTTATATTCGTTTTTTCTCATATTTAATTATCGGATATAAGAAAGTATAAGCTCGGTGTTTTTGATAATCTTTTTTATATGCGATTTTTTCTTATATGAGATGTGCTTATATCCAATATCTACTGTATACATAACTTCGGTAAGCTCAGTCCAGACAATATAATGCCAAAAATTTTGTTGTTTTTCTTCCATAAAAATAATAGATCTATATGTAGTTCTGGAATATCTTCTTATTTGATTCAATACATTGTAAATCTATAATATTAAGTCGGTGTACGAATACGGATTTTGCATATTATATGCCTAATCTTATTTAATCCATCAATTTTCCGCATATTTTTTTGGTATCTATCTTAAAACCTTATCAGCATTTATCCGTTATCAATTCGTACAGATTTTGAATATTCTTTAACAATGAAACAATCGGAAATCAAATACATACATACATATAATTTTAAAATAAACCCTTATAAATGGATTTTCATCTATTGAGTTTTACTGTTTTGACATGACAGATTTTACTTATCTGTCATCTGTAGATAAACATGACATGACGTGCACTTTTCAATAATTTTCTTCAAACGAAAACAACAAACAAATAATATTTGTTCTTATTTTTTGGGTAAATAGAATTTTTGCTGAGATCATGGTGAAAGCTGATATCCCATCCACAGCTATCCATCCCTTCTAAATATGCACTTTGAAAACAAACACCTGATTGTTGTTGTGATGCTATCGCACTAGACATGGATGTTGTGAGAACCATCAACTAGCTACCACTTTTTATTTATGTCTGCTTTTTCCCCATATACCTAAAATACTTAGAGGTAGGTAGGTAGTATACACACATTGGTAGATATATACACACATACCGAACAACAACAACAAACGGTGTATTGTGGTGGAGACACCATCATCATCACCATCTACCCCCAAAACACGGCAATGCGTCCGCGCTAAAGCTATAGCTGCGCTACTCCTTGCAAAAAATAAACGAAGAAAATAACAAAACGAAACACGAACAAACATACATTAACCGAATTGTTTGGTTGGTGGGCAAAACCAAGCATCAATGCCAAGAGCAAGAAAACAGATGTACTTTTTTATTTTCTTTGCTATTGCATAAGTTCTTCCTTCATAGCCTCCACCACCACCACAACCAACCAACATCATCTTCATCTCCATCACTAGAAATTAGGTTATTCATATTTTTTTGTTTCGTCTACTATGTGTCATTATTTCAAAATAATTTCAATTTTTTTTAAATAGAAAAATGAAACAAATTGTTTGTTTTTTTATACTTACAGAGGACGTGAGAACATTTTGCCAAGTTTGATGTGTTGCTTGTGTTGTTGTTGTTATTGTTGCTGTTTTGCCGTTTTTTGTTACTGCTAGAAATGAAAGCTCGATTAACCAATTTCTTTTTTGCCAAAACGCGGGGATAGGAAAATCCGAAAAAAGAATTTCAAATATTTTAAATTTAAACACTATTATTCCCTTTTATTTTTAAACTCTTTTTTTTGACACATAATTTGTATTTTTAATTTTATTATACAATATTTATATTATTATAATTATTTGCACTTTTTATATATATTTTTCAAAACACTTGCGGTTTTTCCACACACATTAAAAAAAATATGTAATATGCCTTGCAACACAACGTACCACTTAGAACTCCGCACAGGAACCAACTCAACCGTTTTCGTTGAAAGAAGCTTTTCAACTGAAGAGCAGTGATGGACTGACGTCTATCAAAAGTTTTCTGCCATTAGCAGCGCACACTGAACAGAATCGATGTCAAAGAGAAAACGTCTGAACGTTCAACGCACAATGAAAACGTTTGGGCGATATTTCATTGGTGGCGAGGGTAAAATGTTTAGCGATTTTGGTAAAAATTAAAACAAAACGTTGATAAAATTTCAAAATAAAATATAGTTGTAGAGGATTTTGCAATAAGACGTGCCCTTTTTGATATTTAACCAAAAAATTTAAACTTTTTTTAAAATAAATGTTCTTTCCATTTTTCGTAATGGCGTAGTTCCTACAAATGTCAAAGAATAATATTCAAAATTACAAACACAGGTATATAGATTTTAGTTGTAAATTAATTTTCTAATAGTACGTTTACGTTGTACCGGATTTCGTTAACCTAGTGGGTTTCAAATGTAAAACTCCTTGTACATTGGAACTTTTTACCGGGTTAACCTACTTTATGAGGATTTATTTGACATATATGCAAAGGAAATGACTATTGAAACCCACTGGGTTAACGAAATCCGGTTAAATGTAAACGTACTGTAAGTTCCATTGTATACTTGTCAAATAAATCCTCATAGAGTAGGTTAACCCGGTAAAAAGTTCAAATGTAAATGCCGTTTAAAAATAAATTTTATTTGATGTTATATTTAAAATGCTGAATAATTATAATAAAAAATTAAGGTTATTGCCGTAAATCGTTGTTGCTCCAATTGTGTTTTCCTTCATTTACTGTCACCATTGTCATATATTGGCAGCACTCTTATTTGTTTACGAATGAGAGGTATTGAAGGAAACAGAAGTAGAGTATTGTGAGAGAGCATATCGCTGATTAGAAAATGACGTGTCGTAAATTAACCGTATCAGGTATAATGGAGATTATTGGTGTGTTCCAGTAATTTTAATACCATCTATCATATGATCGGTCATGATACATAGTTATCCATTTCGTGGTCAACAATTTGGTGAAAATTAATGTTGTAATATCATGCGAACCGACTAACCGAATCGAACCAAGTGTTGCAAAATCTATTATATTTACCAAGTCTAGATCGTGTCTTAGATGAGACCCATTGGTCCACTCTTTCGGGTACCTCCCCCCAGAAAAGGTCAACATTTAAAATATTTATAAATTTAATATTAGACTAATGAAATGTCCTATTTAGTTTAAACTGTGCACACCGTAACATTTATTTCAACTCAAACTGAGTTCGAAGGTGGGGAAAATGGGTTCACTTCTTTTAGTACCTCGCACAAAAAATTGTGCTAAAATATTTTAATCATACCGGTATATTGTTGGTAGGTGGGACTTATCTTTACACACTTTCTAGTAATACCCTACAAAGGGGAGTGCAAAATGGTCTGTTTGTTATTGTAAGGCAGAGAAGCCTACAGTTTCGGATCTCGCCACTGATCAGTTCCCTTAGTTTCGGATCTCGCCACTGATCAGTTCCCTTAGTTTTTTGTTTGTGAAGCTATTAAAAGCTTCTTTACAAAAAAAAACCTTTTATACCCAAATGTCTCTTGTAACAAAGTGAAGTACTTAGCTAACCAACGAAATAAACTGCATGAGAATTTCGCTGGTGCCTCACTTCGAGATAAAGAAGTCATTTGTAAATAACACCACAATTTTGTAAATCTTATATGAAAGGAAAGGATTATCCAAAGTGTATCCAAACATAACAGGGTTCGAAGAATTATTAAAATACGCTCTTTCTCACGAATGCTAACGGGCGAGAATTCGAATGTTTTAAGTTTATCGCGAATGATAAAGTTACAATGAATGAACAAGTATTTGTAATCTCTCGCGAATGTTCGCATTGTACAAAAAATTCACAAACGATAAAATTTCGCTGCAAGCGTCGTCGATTCATTCGTTCGCAAGCACTGCTTGTTAAAGAAAATTCTTTTGAAAAACTGAAAAAAAAACAAATGTTCGTGAATGCTCGCAAGCACTGTTAAAAACAACAACAAGCAAAAATATCTTAAAAAAGTAAACACACAAACAACGAAAGAATGTGTATGAAGTAGAAAGTGTGTGGAATAACAAGACACATGTCCAACAACTATTGAGTTCACGAAGGTTTGTTGTTATTGTTGTAGTCGTTTTGAGGAATCGCGAGAATTCGGGAATGTTTGTTTTCATTCGTGAGAGAATGTCAGAAAGAATTTCAACCACCAAACGAACTAACGTTGTTGTGTGCACTCACTCCTTCGCTATGTGTGTGGGAACATTCTTTGACGAATGCTCGTTTGGTAAAGAATTTATCGCCATAAATTCATTTGTAAAATGAGCACAAAACGAATGGAATGTATTTTGAATCACCCGCAACCGAATTTTTGCGCACCCTGAAACATAACACATCGTAATATTTTAACCTATCCTAGATCGATTCCAAAGATGGGGCCCATCCTTCTGGTACCTCCCTCACGAAGGTCAAACACAAGGTGTATTTAATAAGGTGTATGCATCAGATACAAAAACAAATATTTTACAAAAACAACATTGTTGTTATAGAAATTAAATTGTCATGCTGACAATAAGTTTTTGACAAATATAAACAAAACAAATTATTAATTTATTTTTGCCAAGAACTATTCTTTGAGGAATAATTAATGAATTTGTGTATTCTTGGGTCATTGGCGTTTTTAGGTCAGTGAAAAATAAAGTTTACGACCTGGTCGCGATTAATTTTAAGTTGCCCACATGCAGCCCATGGCTCTTTGTGATGTTGTTTATATTGTGAATTACCATCAGTTTTTTCTATGGAGTGGCTTCAAATCTTGCCTTCTTAAAGAAAATCGAAGGGACATAAATCCCCGACCAAAGACTAAATCATGGAAATTGTGTTGACCGTATAAAATCTTTCCATAGTCGTATTTAACCTCCGCCGAGGATTGTGACAAGCACTAAGGGCCGATTCCAATATAGGCTAACATAATCTCCTCGATTTTATGAATGGACAGATTTCCATACATAATATAAAATATGTGGACCAATCGGCGAACGGTGTTATAACTGATTTAAGCCTAGGTTTCCTTTCCGTCCGCCTCTGCGTATGAATTTTTATTATTAAAAAATCATAAATTTAAAGACCATTCATGAAATCGAAATATAATATTGAAAATGTTTTTGACAATTTACTTTACAAACAATAAAGAAAAAAGCTTGAAACCATATGATTGTCACTTACACCTTATTAAATACACCTTGGTTAAACATTTTGAAAATTTTTTATTCCAATGTTGTGGAATGTCCGATTTGATATCAAATATGTACATCATAATATTTCTTAGAAATTAAATTACAGTTTGGATGATGGGACCCACCGGTCCACTCCTTCTGGTACATCCCACACAAAATGGTCAATAATGTGCTGAGAATTAATTTTCTTACTGCATGCGTTCGAACTATCCCATACATACTAAACTGAACTATAATATTGAAGATGGGACTTATCGGTCCACTCCCCCTAGTACCACCTCCACCAAAGGTCAACATCTTGAAAATTAGTAAATCTCATATAGGGAGGACAGAATATCCAATTTCATCCAAAGTTTGCACATCGTAATATATTTTACTTACATATATCAAGCTTAAATATGAACCCGTTGGCCCCATCTTTCTTTCCTTACGAAAAAGTGTCAACATTTTTAAAATTTGTTAATCCCATACCAAGACAACAGAATGACTGATTTGATTCAAACTTTGCTAATCTAAAATTTTTTCCAAACCTACATTAAATTCTAAGTTGGGGTCTATAGGTCAACCTTATCTAGATCCTCTCTCTTCTATAAAATCTTACAGCTTTCTTATTACAGATCTGTATGTTTTCTCGGCGATTTCTCTTAGTGAAAAAGAGATAAATATAACTGTGGGGGATCATAGCAGGTCACTGCAAAATCAAATCTCTCACTTCAAAATGGGAAGCCATTGATATGGACTATTGTCGTTTATGCGAGGACGAATATGGTACGGAAACTATCGACTATGTAGATGTACAATGCCGAATATTTGTTAAATACACACTGACACTGACCTTTTTCTCTGATATATATCTCATCACCTTTGCTTTGTCGGGAAACTGTATTGGGTGAGTTATCATCTTAACACAATCTTCTTCTTGTCATTCTATTTCTTATTTTCCTGTTTTAATTTTTTACGATGAACAGCATCTACATATGTTATCCGAATGAAACGACTAAATACTAACTTCAGATCTATCTATCGTCTTTATAAACCTTTAGGTCGTCTTTATAAACTCCCTTTACTTTGTCTTTAAAACCCCCTTTAGTCCGTTAACAAAGACTCCCTCAGCTCGTTTAAAAATTCGCACGCCAACCCCCTTCGCCGCGGTTATAAACATATGTTTTTTAATATAATAAGGAAATTTCGTGAGTACGTGAAATTTAATTCTTTTCAAATTGGTGCCCAACATGGAGCTTCTCATTTTTCAAGTTAGCACCCAACATAGAGCTCGTTTACAAAGAATCCCTTTTGCTCATCTATAAATTTCTCCTCAGCTCTTTTTTAAAGTCGCACTTCAGAATTGGCGCCCAACATAGAATTTATCATTTTAGGAAATTTCCTGAGTACAAGATATTGCATTATTTCAAAATTGGCGTCCAACATTGGCCGTTGTTTTAGTAAATTGGATTCTCGTAATAAATTTGCTACTTTTGAACCTTTCAGATGTTAAATCTCAGAGTTTTTGTATTACAGATTAGTTTATTACAGTATTTCACAACAAAAATGTTAAAATCACATAACACATTTCTAAAACTACAACAAATAATATTAATGATCGACTTAATTTATTTTAAATTAAAACAACTTTAGCATTACTAAACACATTATTCCAATAACATTCATACAATCTACATTTAGAGTTGATCCTTTGCTAAATACATAACTTTGTACTGAGGTATTTTCGGCTGGCGTTGATTTACCTTCAAATTCATAATAGGCACGAAAACCACTACGATCGAAACGATCATTCGAATAAAATGTTACACGAAAGAAACGATCATCGGAACGTATTTCAAATTTGTCACGTTTACCACAGTATTTGGGAAATTTACGATCGGTGCTAAGGAAATTGGAAAACTCTACGTAATCGCTGGCGGTAAGATGTTCACAGCTGCTTTAAAATTGAAAATAATTTAGGAAACACATTTATTAATTAAATTTTATTATTATGAAAGAAATTGCATACCTTCCCACACCCTCCACATCGAAGTAACTAAAACGTATTATAACCTTCTCATCCAATTCACCATAAAAGAAATAATGGCAATTGATATTTTTCGGATATAGGCCGGGGAAATTTGGCGAAGTAAAATAGCCCATTTTCTTGTCCGTACTGTTGTAGGCAAAGCTGCAGTTGTTGCCCAATTGGACGCCAGTTGTGATGCCATAATCTGAAATAGAATATACAAATTAGTTTTTTGGTTAATTTTATGAATTTGTGTTACTATTACTTGTTAAAAATGTATATTCAGCCTTAAATCCATAGTAACCGATTTTCGCCTGACCACTCGGAGGATATCGCCCTATGAATTGCAACATTAATTTTGGTCCCGTCGACATAATAGGTTTCGGCAGAAAAGCACCACAATACCAATCCATAACTTCATATTTCCCCTTGACTTGAGTCAGCAGCTGCAGCGAATCATTCGGTTTACATTCTGTGGAATTTTTATCCGTCGGTATATTAAAATCTAGAAATTTTATTTGTACTCGTTCATTTGGTTTGGCGGCAAAAAATTCATAAATACATTCGATACGCCCTGTGTTTATGGACGACGAGGACACCATGTTAAGGCTTGTCATACGTGCTGCCGCTGTCGTTACTGCTGAGAACAGATGATTTGTGTCAAATGTGCCGGTTTTGTTGAAACGAGATTCGAAGATTTCACGAAAGTTGCCTGAAAAGAAGAGATAACATTTATTTGAAATTAAAAAAAAAAAAAATCTGATGATGGTAAAACATTTTCTCGATGATATTTATTCCCCCGAGCTGAAGGGAGTTTTTAAAGGCGAGCTGAAGGGGGTCTTTTCTTAGACGAGCTGAAGGGAGTCTTTTCTTAGACGAGGTGAAGGGTGCCTTTTCTTAGACGAGCAGAAGGTAGTATTCACAAACGATCAACAGCGGAAGGGAGTCTTCGGAGGCAATTTGCTACATCCAACGATACGTAGATAAGGACCCAAACATGGTCAGCGAGAAGGGATTCAACCAAGGTAACAATAAAGAAAACCAACGAAATGATTGAAAAGTCTTCACGGGGAACTTCTGGGTCTTCTGAAAGGATTTTTGTAGACGAGGACAATTCGGTACTGCCATCGATACGTAAATAAGGACTTCAACATGATCAGCGAGAAGGATTTCTCCTGGGTCAAGGAACACTTAGAAGGTTTTGAGGAAGTTTAAAAGAAATGAACTATCTAAAGCCTGTAGGGAACTTCCGAGCGATCGGATTTCTACCTCTCATACAGTGTCTACCTCTAGTGGGCCCTCTACCATGGCGACAATAAAAGAAACACATTGTATAGCATTAAGGCATGGGACAAATACGAGACCGAAACTATTGACAAGTATTTATAGGAACCTTCAGGGTCTGCTGAAGGGGGTCTTTGACAGACGAGGGCAATTTGCTGAAGAAGCACAAAAGAAACTACCTTCATAAGGCCTCTAAAGAACTTCCGGTAGATCGAATTTCTACCTCGCGTACAGTTAAAACCCCACTGATAGCATCAAGGCATGGGCCAAACACGAGACTGAGGCCATTTACATGTTTTCAGTGTTTGTTCCAAAGGCTGTCGAAAGTCGGATAAGTCTTCGCAGCAACTTTCGAGGTCTTCTGTGACGACCGATTCTTCCGACACCTTATTAAGGAAGTCAATGACCTTAAGCCCCTTTGAGGGGCTTTTGCTTTTACACAATGTGCTGAGGTGGCAGACGTTGGCCGAGAAAGGCCGTTTCGGTTCGGCTGACCTAATGGAAGGAACAATGGTAATCATTATCGTTACACGCGTGTCTGATAATGAGAACGGCTACAATTTGATAGCGTTAGACTGTAAATAGCGGCCAGGATATAAGGAGTCTGCCGACACCTTAATAAGCCTCGGAGTCACCGACAATAAGCCCCATTCGGGAGCTATCAGGTGCACCCATAAATGAGAAACCGTGCTGAATGGTGACCTCTGTCTGTCTAACAAAGTGGCATGGTACAATTATAAAAGGTAACAGCAAATCCCAGCTGATTTGATTCCAACGTAATACTAGTGTCAATATGAATTTGACAAATTATGTTTTTAATAATCACCCAACAGGAAAATTAGGAACGCATACAATTTGAAATTGTTCTTTATTAAATGTGCTCCCGTTTTCAATTTACTCAATCTGCCTGCTGGGAAAGTTTGACGAAGCAAATCTTTCTTCATGGAATAACTCGCAATTCCCAGCATTTCCATATGTGTTTCACATATAAATGGCAATGGCTCAATTATACGAAAGTTGTGGAAGCGATAGAAATATAAATTTGATAGATTTTCATTCATGTTTTTCAAAATTTCTTTCGAGGATTCGAAAATATAACATTTTCAAAATAAATATAATTTGTTTATTTTTTTACATTTTTCTGTCAAATGACGTTGACACTAGTATAACTTACAACAACAAATTTCCATGTGGTTGTTGTATCGTTTGTTGTACAACAACACTTGCTGTTACCTTCAATTATTATACCATGACAAAGTGGGGTAAAAGTTCTAATGTACATACTGTTTTATACCACTTTTTCGAAATTTTTGTTATTGATGATTAATTTGCCCAAATTTTTGTTGAATTTATATTCTTTAATATGGCAACACTTTAAATTGTCGAATCCCCATGTAAAACAGCTGTTCTGTTCTACAACCCTAACGCTATTTTCCCCTTTTCGATTGTGCACACCCTACATTTCCTCATTCAATTTGTTTTGTTTTTATTTATTTGTAAAGTGTTGAATATTTTAAAAAATTAAATAATTGTTTATATATGTTTTGTTGTAATTTGTGTTCTGTATGATACAATTTGTTTTTAAAAAGTGTCGTCTAATTGGTTTTTATAATTGTAAACAATTTTATTTGGGATCTACGAGAATGTATCGCGTTGAAGACAACCGTCTGTTTACCTTTACCCGAATCTGTGATGAAATAGCAGTGGAACGAAGTTATTTAAATAAGGCACAAATTTTACAAAATTTCTTTAAGAAAGGATGCAACAAAAAGGAATTCAAGGGCGATTTGCTGTTATGGGTTCGCATGTTAATACCCTCCGATTCACAGCGTGTCTACAATTTAAAAAATAAACAAATGTTGAAGTTGTTTTCAAGACTCTTTCAAACGGATGCCCATGAAATGCAATTGGATTTGGAACAGGGTAAGCTACAATAAGAAACATGTTTAATTTATTAAATTCTGTTTTTAAATTAGAAAGTTAAATTTTCTTTTTTCAAGAGGGTGATGTCTCCGAAACATTGCGTAAATTTTTTGAGACATCGAATAAGCTGAAACCCCAAAAGGATAGCTCATTGTATTTACAAGATGTTGAAGAATTTCTCGTGAAATTGGAACAACGTACCAAAGAGGATGAACAAACCGGACTGCTGAGGGAGCTGTGTAAACAAACTACGTCACAGGATTTGAAGACGGTATGTCCTTTGGGGAAAATTTATGTGGGGTAATATAATTGAAAAATGTGTAATTTTTAAGAATACATAGTTTTAAGGACTACTACAGATGTGGTTTTTTGAAGAATAATTTTAAGGAGGGAGTATTTTTAGATGAACAGAAGGGAGATAAGGGAGTCTTTATAGACGAACAGGAGGAAGTCTTAATATACGAAAAGAAGAGGTCTTTATAGACGAATCGAAAGACGTCATTACGGATTTTATATTTTTTTTGAAGGACTAATAAATTAGAGGATTATTAAGCACCGATTTCTTAAAAAAAATTGTGCTCTTATATGAGCAGATTTCTTAAAATATTTTTTGAAGGACAATTGGAATCTTGAATTTGTTAATATTTTTTTGAAGATATATTTCCTAAAAATATTTTTTAAAGACTCGTGGGGGCATGGATTTCTTAAAAATATTTTCTGAAGGATTCTCAGAGGCGTGGATTACTTAAGAGGGTTTAAGAAACTGTACTGGACTGGACTGTTAGAGGCGTAGATTTATTTATTTATTTAAAATTTTTATTTAAATATTTGTTTTTCTAGAAATTGTATTTCTTAAATATGTATGTGTGTATTTAATCTTGTTTCAGATTATCCGCATAATAAATCAAGATTTACGAATGAATGCAAAAGCTAGTCATGTCTTGGCGGCATTTGGCCCCATGGCATATTCTGCATATCAGGCCACAAGAGATCTCTCAGCAGTTGTCAAACAATTTGCTTTTAAGAAAACCGAGGGCAATAATATCTTCACTGCAGCCGAGCCAAAAGCCAAAGGCAAGAAAGTAAGTGAATACAAAAACAAAACTAATACGAAAATTAAAAAGAAAAAAATATTCAAATATATTATTTCTTAGGGCAAGGCAGCAGCTGGTTCTGTACAAGTTATGACACCCATAGCACCAATGTTGGCTAATGCTTGCAACTCCGTGGAGGAGGCCTTTCGAAAAAGTCCTTCGGGTCTATTCAGTGAAATTAAATATGATGGCGAGCGAGTGCAAATACACAAACAGGGAAATGAGTTTAAGTGAGTTTCCTTTTGATTTCATTTCTTTCATTAATAATATTGTTATATTATTTTTGATTTATAGATTCTTTAGCCGTAATTTAAAGCCAGTTATGGATCACAAAGTTAAGCGTTTCAAGGAAATGATACCAAAGGTAGTTGAGGGGCATTTTCTGTTTACATTATAATATGTTTTCGTGTATTTAGGCCTTTCCTGGAGCTGGTGATATGATATTGGATTCGGAAATAATATTGGTTGACACTTTGAGTGGGGAATTGTTGCCATTTGGTTCACTGGGTGCCCACAAAAAGAAAGAATATCAACATGCCGAAGTTTGTCTTTTTGTATTCGATTGCATATTGTTTAAGGGAGAAGATCTAACCAATACGTAAGTAACATAAGGAAGCATAGATAAGCCGCACAATTATCTTCTTTCAAAATAATTTCTGCAGGACTCATGATGGTTTTTTAGAAATGAAAGACTTTTATACGCCATCTATAAACAGGGACCTACGACAGGGCTTTTATAAATTGAAAACTCCTACAGTTCTTCTATAAATTGTAAACCTCGTACATGTCTTCTGTGAACATTGGCCTTCAACAGAGTTTTTATACATTGGAATTCTTATTGTTCATTATTTCCTAAAATATATTTCATATCTGCTTTTCTTTCCACACAGCCCCCTTCGACAACGTCGAAAAATTCTCGAAGATAATATAACACCCATACGTAACTATGTACAACTATCCGAATCACATTTTCTGAAGACAAAAACTGAACTATCCCTAATGACTGCTAAAGTTTTGAAAGCCCATTTAGAAGGTGTTGTGCTAAAAGATCCATCCGGTACATATCAACCCGGCAAGAGAGGATGGCTTAAGGTTAAGAAAGATTATCTATTTGGTGGTCGTATGGCAGATACAGCAGATTTAGTGGTATTGGGTGCATCATATGGTTCGGGTAAAAAAGGTGGAGTTCTTAGCATCTTTCTAATGGGTTGCTATGATGAACGTGATCATCTGTGGAAAACTGTTACCAAGGTGCATACAGGGTTGGATGATCAGACACGCCTTGAGATGCATGATCATTTAATGAAATTAATGGAAAGATCCGATCCAAAACATTTGCCAACATGGTTTTTGTGTAACAAACCCTTAGTACCGGATTTCATTGCCAAAGATCCGAAGGTTATGCCAGTTTGGGAAATTACAGGAGCGGAATATACAAAATCTAATGAACATACCGCCTCGGGTATATCAATACGATTTCCACGCATAACACGTTTGCGGGATGATAAAACAGCCAAGGAGGCCAATAATCTTGAACATTTGGAAAATATGTATGAAGCCTCAAAGAATAATGTCAATGTGGATTTATTAATAAAGGGGTGTGATGAGGAATCAGAGGATAAAGTGAAAATAAATAGTAAACTTAATTTAAAAGATTCCACAACAACACCAAAACGAGAAATAAAACAAGAACCCATGGATGACAGCCCACAAAGCAGCAGTAAAAAGAAAGCAAAAACAACACCGTCAACCAGCAATAAGAAAAGAAAATCCATAAATACACCTGATGAAGATCAAGACGAAGAATTTGTGGAAAATAAAAAAATCAAAGTGGAAAAAGACGTCAAAAAAGAAAGCAAAACATCTACGGCTAAAAAACAATTGACACTTGATTTTGTGTTGAAAAAGGAAATTAAAAAAGAAGTGGATGAGCCACCCACGACGTCTTCCAAAAATATCGTAAAACAGCAATTGAATGAATCTCCCTCAACCTCAACAAAAACGACTTATGGACAATCGGCTGATGTATCAACCATTCGAAAGAAAAGCAATCTATTTAAAAATCTAACTGCCTATTTCAATAATGTGAACGATGCTGATAAATTAAGAGAGAGTTTTATAGCTAATGGTGGTAGTGTTACCACAAATAAAAAATTAGCCAATTTAATTATACACGAAACCTGCCATCCACCCAATATTACATTAAGTTATTGTAGATCGAAATATCGTGCGTCTTGTCATCATTTAAGTAAACAATGGCTCTTGGATTGTCTCAAAGAAAATTCGCTATTAGATTATGGCCTTTATGCAGTTGTCCTAACGACGAAATAATAAAGATCACAAAAAATAATATCGATTTGTTTAATTTTTTTCAATGCCATTGAATTTCACCATTTATGGGTCAGCTGAGTTTTTCTTACAGTTGTCAGCAGATAAGTCGATATACATATGTTTTGATATAAAAAAATAACAAATAGAAGAGCAATTGGAATTGATAAGGCGATGATTGATAAATTCTTTGTTATCTGCATTTATTTTTGCAATTTGATAAGGCAATGCTAATAGTTTATGTAGTTATTAATCCGATTAGAATGTAAGAATGAATAAGGTTTCTATTTCTATCAAAATGTCTTAGGTTATGTATGGGGAATAATGTTTTTTTATCAAATAAAAATTTGAAGTCATCATGGTGTTATAATAATTATATTCTTATGATATTCATTATTCCATGAATTATAGTAATTCTCTTTCTAGGTTGTACACAAAAAAATTGATAATAATGAATTTCGTGTACTGATGAAATATTTCTTTTCTAAGGGAAAGGAAATTACCATAAACAGGTGGTTCCGACTATATGATACCCTACACCTCACCATCATCACCAGTGTTATCCAACAGATGATACGTTGATAGATGTTGCATTATACGGCCTGTTTGACTCTCTCGTGTGTTCCGTACATACCCAAAGCGGGAAAACTAAGCCATTCTGCAACAATGGACTATAGACCCATTAGCCTATCATCCTTTCTCCTCAAGACTCTCGAAACACTGATCGACCTGGAGATTAGGAATCATGTAGACACCACCTCTCTAAGCAATTCGCAGCACGCATATATTAAAGGCAAATCTGTGGAATCTGCATGGTGGTAGGTTATATTGAGAGATTCAACACTGTAGAACTTGAATCCATAAAGCACTGACTTAAAAAAATCAACATACCTGAAACCCGTACGTGTTGGTTAGATAAAATTCTAAAAAGCAGAATTATAAATTCAAATATGGGGGAGACTTAAATCAGGAAAATAGTAACTAGAGGTACATCTCAGGGCGGAGTGCTCTCATCGTTGCTGTGGCTATTGGTAATCAACAAAATATGTTGATAGAGTTGGACGACGTGGTGATATTGATTTCCGGTAAATTCCCGTCCACAACTTCGGAGCTTATGTAAAGAGCCTCATCGACGCTGTCAGGTTGGGCCAAGGCGAACAGCCTTGGAGTTAATCCAAAAAAGACAGGACTAATAACGTTCACTAGGAAACATAAGCTCGGTGTCTTTGCTCCACCAACACTGGATGGGGTGTAGCTCCATCCCTCGGCCGAAGCAAAGAACCTTGGCACGATCTTAGACAACTACGATGGAACAGGAATTCTGAGGAAAGGACGAAGAGAGGGTAGATTACACTCTACGCATGCAAGAATTCCTTTGGGAAAAGTGGCAATACCTGCGCGTATATCGACATTCAGCAAACTAGACAAGGTACAAAGAGTAGCCTCGATTTTTATAACTGGAGCCGCGAGGAGCACTCCACAAGCACCTCTGAATGTAATGCTGAACTTAAGGCCTCTGGGTCTCAGCATTAAAGGGCCAAGCAGAATGCTTGCGTTGAGCCATCCGTCGCGTTTTATGTTATCGAAAATACAACAACCACAAGGAAACGATAACACAAACGCATACGGATGGCTCAACGCGAGCATTCTGCTTAGCCCTTAAGTGTCAGGCCCAAAGGCTGCATGAACAGAATCTTTGTAACCTGAACGAAAACTAAGCGACTATATATCACCAGAGATTTGACGATGTAGATGTCGTTATTCTCAGTAGAGACGACGGGGTCCGTAGTAGCCCTCTTCTGGACGGTCTGGCTTTTTATACAGACCGATCCCAGAGGGAAGAAGGAACAGTGGCTGGCGTCTACTGAGAAGTTTTAGGCCTTGAACTCTCTTGGTGCAGATGCTCTTCCTCGGTACACCCGGAATAATATCAGACTCTTCCGCCCAGACAGAATCTTTGTAACCTGAACGAAAACTAAGCGACTATATATCACCAGAGATTTGACGATGTAGATGTCGTTATTCTCAGTAGAGACGACGGGGTCCGTAGTAGCCCTCTTCTGGACGGTCTGGCTTTTTATACAGACCGATCCCAGAGGGAAGAAGGAACAGTGGCTGGCGTCTACTGAGAAGTTTTAGGCCTTGAACTCTCTTGGTGCAGATGCTCTTCCTCGGTACACCCGGAATAATATCAGACTCTTCCGCCCAGACATTCAGGATTAAGAAACTTTCTTGGAAAAATTTGCCAGTATAGTTCCATGTTTTGACCTAGACCAAATCAAATAAGGTCTCGACCATTTTAGGTATTTTTTTTTGTCCTATAAACATTTCTCAGCCGTAGTGTCTGTAATTTGGCATCCTTGGTTCTTGGCAGAAAAATTTTAAACAAAAAGGTCAAGTTTTGTATATAGCCTCATATTATGGTCCGTTCAATTTTCGGTATGCTGGAAGTTTCAGCCGAATTTCCCTATCTAAGTACTTCTCCGTTTGTTTCATTTTCTCAGGGGATAAACAAATCTCCATGACAAAGTCCCCTTTTATAATGTCGCTACCAAATTTGAAGTACTTTGAATGCGGATCTCATTGAGTAGGGGTCTAAATAGTTCGGCCCGGCCGAACTTAGCACCTTTTTTAAATGTTAACTTGTCATTTTTGACAGATCCGTTTTAATTGATTGGAATATGAGTAATTTCTATGAAATCTATTTAAATATGTATTTTGATTTGGGTATCGGATCGGGTCTAACATGCAGTCCGACCTCTCTTGTGGTACGCTTGTGTGTACTTCTAAGCAAATCACAACAATTTTTTGTTTTTACTTATGAAGAGATATTGCTGATAAGTAAATAAGTATCACAAGTTTGGAGGAGGAGATATGAAATTCCGAACGTGCCGAAAATACGATAACTCTTATATTGTAGGTATATAAAAAATCTGTTTATAGTATATACATATTCACAAACAAAGAAAAAATAAATATTATCTTGACTTCGCCAGTCGTTAGCAATCCTACACACAATTATTAATTGTATTAATAATCGATAAGTCGGAACGAAAACATTGCTGCAAACGTTTAGCGGAGCAAATAAATAACTAATTGTTTAATTTGCGGAAAAGGCAAACATGTTGTTGGAAATAATTGCATTTGTTTTAATTGCTGGTGCTTTGTTTTACTATTGGGCCACCAAGAATAATAATTTCTTTAAATAACGAAATTTGGAATATGAAAAGCCGCGGTTTTTGTTTGGCAACAGTTGGGAGATGTTGATGAAACGTAAGACGGGGTTTGAATTTCTCTGTGAAGTACATCAACGACATAAGGGAATGTAAGTTGTTTTGTTTGTATGTGGATAAAAAAATATATTTCAATCATTGTACAATTACAGGGTCTATGGAGCGTTTGATATGCGTCAGCCGGTCCTCATGATACGTGATCCAGAATTGGTTAAACAAATTTTAATAAAAGATTTCGATCATTTTGTAAACCGCCAGGTATCGAGTTCAGGGGCCACGGAGAATTTATTTTCCCATTCGTTGTTTATGATGGAAAATGATAAATGGCGTGATATGAGAAGTACATTGAGTCCCGCATTTACCGGCAGTAAAATGCGTCAAATGTTCCAGTTGATGGTACAGACGGTAGATGAGGCCATGGCATATTTAAGAAGTCAACAGTGGTCGATGGATGGTATCGATGTCGACATGAAAGATTTAACTACGCGTCTGACAAATGATATAATTGCCTCGACGGCATTTGGTCTGCAGGTGAATTCATTTCGTGATAAAGAAAATGAATTCTATATTAAGGCAAAGCGGGCTGTCAGCTTTACGGGTTTGCAGCAGGTGAAAATGCTGTTTATTGTTATCTTTCCAAAGTTGGCGGAGGTAAGTAGCGGGATGGAGGAATTATTTTTTTAATTTTTTAAATAATTTATTTCAAGGACTCTTAGAGCATTAGTGTTGGATTATTAAAATAATTTATTTCAAGGACTGTTAGAGCATTAGGCGTGGATTTTTTAAAGGACTATCAGATCCGAAGGATTGAATTTTTGAAATAATTTTTTTCAAGGACTATTACAGCATTAGACTTGGATTTTTTAATTTATTTCAAGGAATCTTAGAGCATTAGGGTTGGATTATTAAAATAGTTTATTTCAAGGACTATTAGATCATTAGGCGTGGATTATTTAAAGGACTATCAGATCTGGAAGAGTGGATTTCTTAAAAAAACATTTTTTTCAAGGACTATTACAGCATTAGGCGTGGATTTTTTAAATAATTTTTTTTCAAGGACTATTAGAGCATTAGGCGTGGATTTTTCAAAATATTTTCTTTCAAGGACTATTAGAGCATTAGGCGTGGATTTTTTAAATATTTTTTTCAAGGACTATTACAGCATTAGGCGTGGATTTTTCAAATATTTTTTTTCAAGGACTATTACAGCATTAGGCGTGGATTTTTTAAATAATTTTTTTCAAGGACTATTACAGCATTAGGCGTGGATTTTTTAAATAATTTTTTCAAAGACCTTTACAGCATTAGGCGTGGATTTTTTATATAATTTTTTTTCAAGGACTATTAGAGCATTAGTCGTGGATTTTTTAAATAATTTTTTTCAAGGACTATTAGAGCATTAGTCGTGGATTTTTTAAATAATTTTTTTCAAGGACTATTAGAGCATTAGGCGTGGATTTTTTAAATAATTTTTTTTCAAGGACTATCAGAGCATTAGGCGTGGATTTTTTAAATAATTTTTTTTTCATGGACTATTAGAGCATTAGGCGTGGATTTTTTAAATAATTGTTATTTTCAAGGACTATTAGAGCATTAGGCGTGGATTTTTTAAATAATTGTTTTTTTCAAGGACTATTAGAGCATTAGGCGTGGATTTTTTAAATAATTGTTTTTTTCAAGGACTATTAGAGCATTAGGCGTGGATTTTTTAAATAATTGTTTTTTTCAAGGACTATTAGAGCATTAGGCGTGGATTTTTTAAATAATTGTTTTTTTCAAGGACTATTAGAGCATTAGGCGTGGATTTTTTAAATAATTGTTTTTTTCAAGGACTATTAGAGCATTAGGCGTGGATTTTTTAAATAATTGATTTTTTTTTTTTTTCAAGGACTATTAGAGCAATAGGCATGTGTTTTTTAAAGAAGATTTTTCAAGGACTTTTAGAGCATTAGGCGTGGATTTTTTAAATAATTTTTTCAAGGACTATTAGAGCATTAGGCGTGGATTTTTTAAATAATTTTTTTCAAGGACTATTAGAGCATTAGGCGTGGATTTTTTAAATAATTTTTTTCAAGGACTATTAGAGCATTAGGCGTGGATTTTTTAAATAATTTTTTTCAAGGACTATTAGAGCATTAGGCGTGGATTTTTTAAATAATTTTTTTCAAGGACTATTAGAGCATTAGGCGTGGATTTTTTAAATAATTTTTTTCAAGGACTATTAGAGCATTAGACGTAGATTTTTAAAGATAAATTTTCAAGGACTATTAGAGCATCAGACGTGGTTTTTTTAAATAATTTTTTTCAAGGACTATTAGAGCATTAGGCGTGGATTTTTTAAATAATTTTTTTCAAGGACTATTAGAGCATTAGGCGTGGATTTTTTAAATAATTTTTTTCAAGGACTATTAGAGCATTAGGCGTGGATTTTTTAAATAATTTTTTTCAAGGACTATTAGAGCATTAGGCGTGGATTTTTTAAATAATTTTTTTCAAGGACTATTAGAGCATTAGGCGTGGATTTTTTAAATAATTTTTTTCAAGGACTATTAGAGCATTAGGCGTGGATTTTTTAAATAATTTTTTTCAAGGACTATTAGAGCATTAGGCGTGGATTTTTTAAATAATTTTTTTCAAGGACTATTAGAGCATTAGGCGTGGATTTTTTAAATAATTTTTTTCAAGGACTATTAGAGCATTAGGCGTGGATTTTTTAAATAATTTTTTTCAAGGACTATTAGAGCATTAGGCGTGGATTTTTTAAATAATTTTTTTCAAGGACTATTAGAGCATTAGGCGTGGATTTTTTAAATAATTTTTTTCAAGGACTATTAGAGCATTAGGCGTGGATTTTTTAAATAATTTTTTTCAAGGACTATTAGAGCATTAGGCGTGGATTTTTTAAATAATTTTTTTCAAGGACTATTAGAGCATTAGGCGTGGATTTTTTAAATAATTTTTTTCAAGGACTATTAGAGCATTAGGCGTGGATTTTTTAAATAATTTTTTTCAAGGACTATTAGAGCATTAGGCGTGGATTTTTTAAATAATTTTTTTCAAGGACTATTAGAGCATTAGGCGTGGATTTTTTAAATAATTTTTTTCAAGGACTATTAGAGCATTAGGCGTGGATTTTTTAAATAATTTTCTTCAAGGACTATTAGAGCATTAGGCGTGGATTTTTTAAATAATTTTCTTCAAGGACTATTAGAGCATTAGGCGTGGATTTTTTAAATAATTTTCTTCAAGGACTATTAGAGCATTAGGCGTGGATTTTTTAAATAATTTTCTTCAAGGACTATTAGAGCATTAGGCGTGGATTTTTTAAATAATTTATTAAAAAAAATTATTAAAATATTTTCTTTTTGCAGAAGCTAAAAATGGATATTTTTGAAAAATCATTTACCGATTATTTTATGAATCTGGTATTGGGTACAATGAAATATCGCCAGGAACACAATATACATCGTCCGGACATGATTAATTTGCTAATGGAAGCCAGAGGTATGATACCCACAGAGGTACAGAAAACCCATTTCCGTCAATGGACTGATATGGAAGTTGTGGCGCAATGTTTGGCCTTCCTCTTTGCCGGCTTTGAACCATCTTCGGGTGTAATGAGTTTTGCCGCCCATGAGCTGATGGAGAATTCTCAGGTTCAAGAAAAACTCTATGAAGAAATTCATGGAGTCGACGAAGAGTTACACGGTAAGCCGGTATCATATGAATTGTTGCAAAAAATGCCCTATATGGAAATGGTTGTATCGGAGGTGTTGAGAAAATGGCCTGTGGCGGGTGTAACCGATCGTATATGTAATAAAGATTTTGAATATGTGTCAAAGGATACCGGTGAACGTGTGATCGTAAAGAAAGGTGAAAAGGTACGCATTTCTATGTGTGGCTTCCAGAGGGATCCAACATATTTTGAAAATCCCAATGTCTTTGATCCGGAACGTTTTAGTGCGGAAAATAAAATGAAAATAGATCATGGTACTTATTTGCCATTTGGTGTGGGTTCACGTAATTGTATTGGTAATATTTTGATTTTTTATTATTTTTCGTTTTGAAAAAGTATAATTTAATTGTTGTTTTTGTTATAGGTACTCGTTTCGCTTTATTGGAGGTAAAGGTGTTCCTTTACTATTTGTTGCGTGATTATCATTTGGAGCCATGTGCCAAGAGTTGTATACCGTTGGTCTTAGATCCTACTAAGATACAACTGTTGCCAAAAGGAGGTTTTTGGTTGAAACTGAAACCAAGAAAAGCTTAAATTGTTCTTTTAATTATTTTCAATAAAAATTGTAAAATATTTGTAATAATATTATATACATATATACATATGTACATATATTAAGTATTTATGTATATATGTATTTATGTAAATATAAATAAAAAATATTCAGAAATAGTGCGCGGATTTTTGAAATAATTTATTTCAGGGACCATCACAGCTTTAGGCGTGGATTTTGTAAATAAGTTATTTCAGGGACCATCACAGCTATAGGCGTGGATTTTTTTTAATAATTTATTTCGGGGACCATCACATCTATAGGCGTGGAATTTTTTAAATAATGTATTTCAGGGACCATCACAGCCATAGGCGTGGATTTTTTAAATAATTTATTTCAGGGACCATCACAGCTATAGGCGTGGATTTTTTTTAATAATTTATTTCGGGGACCATCACAGCCATAGGCGTGGATTTTTTTAATAATTTATTTCAGGGACCATCACAGCTATAGGCGTGGATTTTTCAAATAATTTATTTCAAGGACCATCACAGCTATAGGCGTGGATTTTTTAAATAATTTATTTCAGGGACCATCACAGTTATAGGCGTGGATTTTTTAAATAATTTATTTCAGGGACCATCACAGCTATAGGCGTGGATTTTTTAAATAATTTTTTGCAGGGACCATCACAGCTATAGGCCTGGATTTTTTAAACAATTTTTTGCAGGTACCATTACAGCTATAGGCGTGGATTTTTTAAATAATTTTTTGCAGGGACCATCACAGCTATAGGCGTAGATTTTTTAAATAATTTTTTTCAGGGACCATCACAGTTATAGGCGTGAATAGGTGCAAATATTTAATATCAATTACTAATTGATTATCCACCTGATGGTAAGGGAGGTAGGTATATATTTAATATGAATTTATTTGTTTTATTTTATTAATATTTACACAACCTCAGTGTAGAATAAACAAGAGCAAAAAAATCTACAATAGAGATAGATCTCTCCAACCTCCATATTGCTCTCACAATTATTTTCAATGAAATGTAATTAACAAAACCTAGTGATCCGGACAAAAAATGAATTTCATTCTCAGTTAGAAGCTTGAAGCGAGCGGACATAATCGGAGAACAAACAACACAACACACAAGCAAAATGTTATTAGAATTTCTTATATTTATTTTAATTGGCGGCGCATATTTTTATTATTGGGCCACCAAAAATAATAACTATTTCGCAAAACGTAATTTGGACTATGAAAAACCAATATTTTTATTCGGCAATGGTTTGGATATAATATTGCGGCGTAAAACGGGATTTGATGTTCTGTGTGAAATGCATCAGCGGCATAAGGGAATGTAAGTACATAGAGACATACATACATCATATCAACACCCAAAAAATTTATATAAAAAACGAATTACAGGGTCTATGGAGCCTTTGATAATCGCCAACCACTGCTTATGATCCGAGATCCGGAATTAATTAAACAAATTATGATTAAAGATTTCGATCACTTTGTCAATCGTCAGACATTTCCGGGCAGCAGTGAAAATTTCTTTGCCAATTCCCTATTCATGTTGGAAAATGATAAATGGCGTGATATGAGAAGTACTTTGAGTCCAGCTTTTACCGGCAGTAAAATGCGTCAAATGTTCCAGTTGATGTTACAAACGGTGGATGAGGCAATGTCGTATTTGAAGGTGCAACAAAATTCGGTGCATGGTTTCGATGTCGATATTAAAGATTTGTCTACTAGGCTGACAAATGACATCATTGCCTCAACGGCATTTGGTCTGCAAGTCAATTCATTTCGTGACAAAGATAATGAATTTTATATTAAGGCCAAAAATGCTGTGAATTTTTCGGGACTGCAACAATTGAAAATGATTTTTATTATGATATTTCCGAAATTGGCCGAGGTGAGTAAATAATACCAGCAAAATAATTTATTTCGAGGGCTATATAAGCAAGAAGTTTTCTGAAGGACTACCACATCTATAGGCGTGGATTTTTAAAATAACTTATTTTAAGGACCAACACAGCAATAGACGTCGATTTTTTAAATACTTTATTTTAAGGACCATCTTAGATATAGACGAGGATTTTTTAAATAATTTATTTGAAGGGCCAACACAGCTACAGTCGTGTTTTTTTTTAAATAATTTATTTTAAGGACCAACACAGCTATAGGCGTGGATTTTTTAAATAATTTATTTTAAAGACCAACACAGCTATAGGCATGGATTTTTTAAATAATTTATTTTAGGGACCAACATTTATTTTAAGGACCAACACAGTTATAGGCGTGGGTTTTTAAATAATTTATTTTAAAGACCAACATTTATGTTAAGGACCAACACAGCTATAGGCGTGGATTTTTTAAATATTTTTTTTTAAGGACCAACACAACTATAGGCGTTGATTTTTTAAATAATTTATTTTAAGGACCAACACAGCTATAGACGTGGATTTTTAAAATAATTTACTTTAAGGACCAACACAGCTATGGGCTTGGATTTTTTAAATAATTTATTCTAAGGACCAACAAAGCTATAGGCGTGGGTTATTTAAAAATGTTATTTTAAGGACCAACACAGCTATAGGCGTGGATTTTTTAAATAATTTATATTAAGGACCAACACAGCAATAGACGTCGATTTTTTAAATAATTTACTTTAAGTACCATCTTAGCTATAGGCTTGGATTTTTAAATAATTTATTTTAAGGACCAACACAGCTATAGGCGTGGATTTTTAAATTTTTTTAAGGACCAACACAGCTATAGGCGTTGATTTTTTAAATAATTTATTTTAAGGACCAACACGGTTATAGACATGGATTTATTAAATAATTTATTTTAAGGACCAACACAGCTATACGCGTGGATTTTTTAAATAATTTATATTAAGGACCAACACAGCAATAGACGTCGATTTTTTAAATAATTTACTTTAAGTACCATCTTAGCTATAGGCTTGGATTTTTAAAATAATTTACTTTAAGGACCAACACAGCTATAGGCTTGGATTTTTAAATAATTTATTTTAAGGACCAACACAGCTATAGGCATGGATTTTTAAAATAATTTACGTTAAGGACCAACACGGTTATAGACATGGATTTATTAAATAATTTATTTTAAGGGCCAACACAGTTATAGACATGGATTTTTAAATAAATATTTTGTTTTCCGATATTCAAATGTTTACCTTTTTCCATTTTTCTAGATGTTATCTATTGATATTTTTGAAAAATCATTTACCGAGTATTTTATGCATTTGGTGTTAGACACTATGAAATATCGTCAGGAACATAACATACATCGTCCCGACATGATAAATCTGCTGATGGAAGCTAGCGGAATGATACCCACCGATATACAGAAAACACATTTCCGTCAATGGTCTGATATTGAAATTGTTGCTCAATGTTTGCTTTTCTTATTTGCTGGCTTCGAACCATCATCGGGAGTAATGAGTTTTGCCGCTCATGAGCTAATGGAAAATCCTCAGGTTCAAGAAAAACTTTATGAAGAAATTCGTGGAATTGATAAAGATCTACAGGGTAAATCGGTCACATATGAGCTGTTGCAAAAAATGCCCTATATGGATATGGTCATATCAGAAGTTCTACGAAAATGGCCTGTCACTTTGGTAACCGATCGTACTTGTACTAAAGATTTTGAATATAAATCACCTGAGAGTGGAGAAAATATTGTCATTAAGAAAGGTGAAAAAATACGTGTGTCACTGTGTGGTCTTCAACGTGATCCGAAATATTTTGAAAATCCTGATCAATTTAATCCGGAGCGATTTAGTGTGGAGAATAGGGGGAAAATCGAAATTGGTACATATCTACCATTTGGTTTGGGACCACGTAATTGTATTGGTGAGTTGGTGAATATTTTAAAAATAATTTTAAAAAATATTTTCAAAATTATTTACGTTTTATTTCTAGGAAATCGTTTTGCATTGTTGGAGGTGAAGGCTTTCCTCTACTATCTATTGCGTGATTATCGTCTGGAAGTGAGCCCCAAGACTTCTCAACCTCTGACATTAGATCCTGCCAATATACAATTGCTTCCTAAAGGTGGATTTTGGCTTAAATGTATACCAAGGAAATGTTAAATATTAGGTTCATAATTTACTTCAATAAAATTTTATAAACAAAAACTTCTTCAGTAAACTTTTCCCTTAAAAATATTTAAAAAATCCACGCCCGTAACTGTGATAGTCCTTGAAATAAATTATTTAAAAAATTCACGCCTGTAGCTGTGATAGTCCTTGAAATAAATTATTTAAAAAATCCACGCCTGTAGCTGTGATAGTCCTTGAAATAAATTATTTAAAAAATCCACGCCTGTAGCTGTGATAGTCCTTGAAATAAATTATTTAAAAAATCCACGCCTGTAGCTGTGATATAGTCCTTGAAATAAATTATTTAAAAAATCCACGCCCGTAGCTGTGATAGTCCTTGAAATAAATTATTTAAAAAATCCACGCCTGTAGCTGTGATAGTCCTTGAAATAAATTATTTAAAAAATCCACGCCTGTAGCTGTGATAGTCCTTGAAATAAATTATTTAAAAAATCCAGGCCTAATGCTCTAATAGTCCTTGAAAAAAATTATTTAAAAAATCCACGCCTAATGCTCTAATAGTCCTTGAAAAAAATTATTTAAAAAATCCAGGCCTAATGCTCTAATAGTCCTTGAAAAAAATTATTTAAAAAATCCAGGCCTAATGCTCTAATAGTCCTTGAAAAAAATTATTTAAAAAATCCAGGCCTAATGCTCTAATAGTCCTTGAAAAAAATTATTTAAAAAATCCAGGCCTAATGCTCTAATAGTCCTTGAAATAAATTATTTAAAAAATCCACGCCTAATGCTCTAATAGTCCTTGAAAAAAATTATTTAAAAAATCCACGCCTAATGCTCTAATAGTCCTTGAAAAAAATTATTTAAAAAATCCAGGCCTAATGCTCTAATAGTCCTTGAAAAAAATTATTTAAAAAATCCAGGCCTAATGCTCTAATAGTCCTTGAAAAAGATTATTTAAAAAATCCACGCCTGTAGTTGTGTTAGTCCTTAAAATAAATTATAAAGAAACTCCTTGGGTTTCAATGAGGCTGGCCCCACGTTGGGCGTCAATAAAGCAACTCCTTGGGTTTCAATGATGCTTGCCCCACGTTGGGCGTCAATAAAGCAACTCGAAACACCAAGATTTGAAATAATGTTGGCTACTCCTTGTTTAGGAACTACTTCCAGCTTATGATCTAGTCCATCAACTTGGGCAAGCGTGGGTAATGATCTTAAGCCTTCAGTGTCCGCTAAACGAATTAGAGCCGGGTGGTCCAGGACTCGGAGTGAAGCTGATTTTATTGAAATTTGATTGAGCTTAGGTACTAATTATGAGAAGCAAGATCATCGTCTAGTATTGGTTGTGTAATAATGTAGTAGATTCACAGATGTAGTTTTTAGTACTATTTACAAAATATTTACATAGTTAACCGTTAATTTCAAATGTTTAAAACAGAGTTGCATTTAAATATGGAAATCATAAGATCATTAAAACGTGTTTACACTATTGAAATTAAAATTGAATAAAAATTAAGTTGATCCGCTTCAATTATTTAAAAAATCCACGCCTGTTGGTGTGATAGTCCTTGAAATAAATTATTTAAAAAATCCACGCCTGTAGCTGTGATAGTCCTTGAAATAAATTATTTAAAAAATCCACGCCTGTAGCTGAGATAGTCCTTGAAATAAATTATTTAAAAAATCCACGCCAGTAGCTGTGATAGTCCTTGAAATAAATTATTTAAAAAATCCACGCCTGTAGCTGTGATAGTCCTTGAAATAAATTATTTAAAAAATCCACGCTTGTAGCTGTGATAGTCCTTGAAATAAATTATTTAAAAAATTCTCGCCTGTAGCAGTCCTTGAAATAAATTATTTAAAAAAATCCACGCCTACCGCTGTGATAGTCCTTGAAATAAATTATTTTAAAAATTCACGCCTTAGTCTGTGATAGTATCTACAGAAAAGTATATGTCATTAGTATGTGATTTTTTCTCTAGAAAAAATCCGTCCTCAATCACTGACACCTTATCTACAAAGCTAATAATTTGGCACTATGAATTTTAATTTTTTTTGAAGTGCTTCGCTAAACAATAATGTACATATTAACATACATACGTACTTCGTGTTTAGTTTCATATCTTAACGAACCACCCAAACGTTTGCAGTGCTTCGTAAACAGCAAATTAGTCATCACTCTCTGCGGCATTCCCAATATTCGATTAGTGTTTTTTGAAACGTTGATCGTCGAACGACAAACACTGCCACGCGTTCTGTGTTCCACAAAATGTTATTAGAATTCTTGGCCATTGCCTTTGTCGGTTTAATACTCTTCTATCGTTGGGCGATCAAAAATAATGATTTCTTTAAAAGACGTAATATACCCTATGCCGAGCCGGCGTTTCTCTTTGGTACGGTTAAGGAAATTACATTGAATAAGAAGAGCCGATTTGATGCCATGTGTGAATTCTATAATCAACATAGCGGGCCGTAAGTACTTTGTTTGTATCTAATCGATAGAGAATAATGTAATAGGTGTGTTCGATAGAAAATATTCAATAATAAACATTTATAGAGTATTTAAGTTTATTCTAGCTTCATCAACTGAAGCTAGAATCTTGAAATTTTGGGTGAGGGTCGTCACTCTTTGTCCGAAGGTGTCAGATAAGGCTGGGTTTTAAGAAATTCATGGCTAACTGGTAGAGCTAGAACTCTTAAATTTCGGATGAGGGTTAATGATGGAGTGTAGGATTGATGTTGGGGTTTTTGGAAATTTGAACTATAAGTATCCGGAAAGTACTAAAATGTACTAAATTTGGTACAATTTCGTAGCATGTGAACGAATAGAGCTAAAAACTTCAAATTTGGAATGCCAATCAAGGTTGAGAAGTAGGGTCGATATAAGGATGTGGTTTTGGAACTGTGTCCTCATGTATACGAAAAGTACTAAACGGTACAAAATTTAGTACAATTTGAATTTGGAGGAACGGATATGGAGCTGGAATCCTGAAATTGTACTATATTCAAAACAATTTGGATTTACGTGAATCGATAGGGATGGAACTCTGAAATTTAAAAATAAGATTACTACTGCATTATAGATTATAGTTAGGATCACAGTTGGAGTGTAGGATTGGGGTGTGGATGTAGGTTTGGAAATTTGTACTTATGTGTACTAAATTTGATACAAATTGGATTTATGTTAACTTATTTAGAAGTATGATCAAAATCGCGCTACTAATGAAATGCAAAACTGGCTTTGTACGAAAAAATTGAGCCTCTGCAATATTTCCCTCTAGACCTATTATAGGTCAGCAGCTAAAATTTCTAACGCTGGCATATTTTCCATATCTTATTTTTCGAGGTAAATGTTTATGCCATAAAATAAAAATTTGATCACTTTAGGTTATGGTTGATGTGCCCCTCGGAATCATCTAAACAACCGTTCTAAGTATTTGGTCAGATCACCTTCACCGTGTAAAATATGTGATGTTCTGCATATCATAATGACATCTAGAGCGACTAGAAAACCGAAAACTGTAGGCGTCGTCGTTGACCCGACTGTTATGCTTATTATTTGGCCACATTCCGTTCCCAGTGTAAAATTTCGTGGCGTTCGGATCATAATTGTGGCCTCTAGAGCTACCAGAAAAACAGTCAAAAAACAGTTTTTGGTCCATTTCATCCCCTAAATATTAACGGATTTTTATAAAATCAATAGGGATCTTCTTTGGTCCATCCTACATATCGAAATTTTGATCCATAAATGTGGCCTGTATCGTGTTTAAAAATTATAATGGTCTAGAACTAATATTTCGCGGCGATACAAATTCTTGTGGCTGCACAAAGCTATAATACCCTAACAACATAGTTGTGTAGGGTATATAAATCAACATATATTTTCATTTTCTTTTCAGAGTTTATGGCAGTTTCGAACATCGTGAACCGATTTTGGTAATACGCGACCCCGGACTGGTAAAACGCATTCTCATTAAAGATTTCGATCATTTCGTAAATCGTCGTGGTGTATTTGCCGAGGGTAGTGATAACATGTTTGGCAACTCATTATTTCTTATGAAAAATGATAAATGGCGGGATATGCGGAATACGTTGAGTCCAGCATTTACCGGCAGTAAATTGCGACAAATGTTTCAATTAATATTGGATTCGGTACACGAGGCAATGGGGTATTTGAGCGAACAAAAACAAGATGAGGGGATAGAGGTGGATGTAAAGGATTTTACAACACGTCTAACAAATGATATAATTGCATCGACGGCATTTGGTTTGAAAATTAATTCATTTCGTGAAAAGGATAATGAATTCTATACAAAGGCAATGTATATAATGAGTTTTCCATTTAGGATACAAATGAAGCTGATGTTTACCATGATATTTCCACGGCTGCAAATGTAAGTAAGAGAGTATGGAATTTGTGGTTCCACTTCTAGATTTTATTTCATTTTAGCTTTTAAATGTTAAAATATTTGGTAAATATGCCGATTATTTCACCAGTCTCGTTATGGATGCCATGCAATATCGTAAGGATAATAATATCCAGCGTCCCGATATAATTCATCTGCTAATGGAGGCAAGGGGTATGATTGCCTCGGATTCACCCAAAACCCATAATCGAAAATGGTCAGATTTAGATTTGGTGGCCCAGTGTTTTGCTTTCTTTTTTGCCGCCCTCGAAACATCCTCATTGGTGATGAGTTTTGCAGCACACGAACTAATGGAATATCCTGAGGTACAAGAGAAACTATTGGAGGAAATTCAAAATGTTGAAAATCAAATGGAAGCTGATGAGACGATAACACCGGAAATATTACATAAAATGACCTATATGGATATGGTGGTATCCGAAGTTCTACGTAAATGGCCGGTAAATGTATTTACCGAAAGATTTTTCATATGAGCTAACGACAGAGGATGGAATTGGTGCTAGCATTGAGATTCGCAAAGGAGATGCTGTTCGTATTATAATGTCTGGTTTACACCGGGATCCAAAATATTACGAAAATCCCGAGGTTTTCGACCCGGAACGTTTT